GAATGGGGGAAAGAGGTGATCGGGGTTTATAACTTCAGGCAAGCATTTACATGTGTCTAACATGGCAACATCATGCATTACTTATTTCATGGTTAAAAATGTTGCTGACAACTGCCACTACTTCAAGGAGAAAATAATCCTCTTCAGGGGTGAAGCAACCTATGCCAACCTTCTGCTGAAATGCCAATCCCCAAAACAGAACAAGTGCATGGTTTTACCCAAACTGCATATTAGCTGAATAAAACGGAGGAAGTGATCTCCTTGTGTTAAAAGAGAGCTTAACCTGGATGCAGTGAAATAATGTATTCCTGGGTCTTGATGGGCATGCTACTAGTCAAAGAAATACTGTTCGAGATTTGCAGATACTAACTACTACATATAAAGTAGATAAACAACAAGTTTCTACTTTATAGCATAGGGAACTATATTCAATATCTTGTAGTAACCTATAATGAAAAAGAATATGAAAAGGAATATATGTATGTACATGTATGACTGAAACATTATGCTGTATACCAGAAACTGATACAACATTGTTACCCGACAATACTTCAATTAAATAAAAAACCAGACAAACACTGGATCCATGGAAGGACTGGACTTAAGTATGCAAATAAGGCCCTAGTTGATTTGACTTTATAGTATGTGAACAGAATGGTGCTTAAAATATATGAAGGAGCTAGCATTGCTGTCTTGAAAGAGGCAGAGAAACCAACACAGATCAGTGTATTCTTTTATGAGAACTAGATGATAGGAAAAGGGGCTGTGGTCATCATCTCACCGTCACTTTATTAAGGATGAGATTCATTATCACTGAGGTGCTTGTTTAGGACAATGTCCATTTTCAGCTTTGAGCAAGACTATAGTCTTCAGACACAAATCCTCATACCAAATCACAAACTCATTAAGTTACGATCAACACATTACTTGAAGCAAATTACAAAATTCTACCCAAGAAGTATTTTATAATTATTTTATTATTATGCCCAATTACTTTATAATTATATCATATGATCCAAACAGGGTTAATTCCAAGGTTTTAGTTATAGAAACATTACTTGGGAGGCTCAGACTGTTGAATTAAATAAATCTATGATCCTGTGCTAAAACACTCATTAAAAATATTGGTCATCAATGAGAAGAGAGACTGCCTGTGTGTTCTCTGAAACCTTTGAATTCATTCATTTTTCAACTATGGAGTCATCCACTCATTCAAAATAAACAATAACAACAACAAAAATCTCACAAGGACCCACTGTAGCAATAGCCATGTCACCAGGGCATGGGGAGACAACAAGCTGAAAAAGGCCAAGTTTTTGTTCTCAAGGGTGTGCAATCTACAAGGGGCAACAGAGAAGATACCTTATTAACTCTAGTTCAATAGTATAATTCCTAAGACACCGATACAAACAATAAAATTCGGCAGCACCAAGAGCTAACTTTGCCTGGAAAAGGAAGTAGCATGACCCCTGGAGAAAGTGAAAGTAGGTGAGGACTTAAAATAAGGCCAAAGAGTTGAAATAAATACAGCAAAAAGTGACTATTTGCTAATTCCAGAGAGTGGGTATTCAGTACTTTAGAAATATTTCACAAATTAAAAACAATGACTCAATCTTTCGGAGACTGAGCCATATTTAGAAAGAAACAGATAGGAAGACCTGTACAGGCGACAGTGTAGGGGCTGTGACAGGGTCCACGGTAGCCCTGCGCCCAGGAGAGTACGGAGAACACTGGGAGCCTACAGGAAATGCATGTTGCCTTGACTTCAACTCACTCTCCACCCTCTACAGAGATATTTCCCCTTGAAAAAAATCTCCCTCTTGGATCAAAAAAATAAAAGTTTCCAGGTTGGGGTTTAGAGGGGACTGCCATCAACAACTGGACTTCAGTGATTTCTTGCTAAAGATAATGAAATAAGGGGTTTTCAACAATGGGAAGGGAGTCCCACAGTTAGGTCACTGCCTTACATTAGGTGAGTTATGTTTGTGTTTTCTAGCCTAAACACCTCTTGTTAAAACAGATTCCACCGCAGTACAACTGTGTGCCATTCCTGATCACCAACAGCTGCGTGATCAGGAAGACTGTTTCCTACCAAGCCAAAAAAAAAAAAAAGACTAGTTTAACAAATTTTTATCAAGACACATAGCCCATGGAGATCACTGAGCCTGCAGCAAGCAACAGGAAGAAAGAGCAAAAACCCATTTACCAGGTGTCAAAAAACAGGAAAAAATAAAGAAATGGAAACTATTTAAGGACTGGGGATCCAGCCTCCCCCCAGTAGAAGATTTTAAGCTGTCCTTACAAGTCAGTTAAAAATGTTTAAGCAACATACTTGGACTGCAGCATTTCTAATGCGGCTGTCACACTATATTTAATGCAGAAAAGATGTATTTTTAAATGATCCAGTTACTCTGAGGGCTTTGGCTTATAAAAGCCTTTTTTATTGAGATTCTAAATTCCAGTCTGAATAACCTTTCAATTTGTTCCAGTAATTTTTTCCCCTCCTGCATTTGCATTGGCAATACAGCTGGAGTTATTTCAAAGCCCAGGCCCTAAGCACTGAGTCTTTTGTACCAACTCTCTCCCTTCAGCAGAGATGGTGGGTGCCAGATTTGACATTGCTATGAAGCTGTTTGCACAAGAAAACCACTTGCTTTTCAAAGATCAAGATTAAAGTGAGCTTAGGAAAAGAAAGGGAGCATGTAGTATTTTCATCACTCTTATGATTACCTGGGGGTTGAAGCAGGGGTTTGAATCGGGAATTAAGTCACTTCAAGATTCCTTGAGTGGTTAAAAGTGCTGCAAACAAATGTGTCTCTTGGTTAATATCTCTGTCTACATCGCAAAGCCCTGTTTCGTTATCAAATCATCACTTCTGTTTAGGGTTCATTGTGAGCTCTCTGTCTTGAACATTTCCTAATCTGGAGCATGAGTGACACTCAGACCAAACTTTGGAGATATGAACAATGTGTAAACTCTCATGCTTTTCATGTGACACCTTCTTCCTAAATATTTACAGGAAAAAGAGACCCTTGCAGTGATGGGAAATTTGTGCAGGAGTTCTAGGTAATTCCAATCAAACCCTAGTAAGACGATAATAAATGTTTATTAAATCCCTGTTATATACCCAGCACTGAGCTGCATGCTTTCAGGAATAGTTTTGTCTAAAACAAAATGCCTGAGTAACAGGCCACCATGACAACTGTGGGTACACTAGTTATTCTGAAGAAAATTTAATACCACCCAAGAATCTAGAAGCTACTTTTATATTTAATTTGTTGGAATAGGATTAATCCTATAAAATTCTGAAAGGTAAATTCTGACCCCAAATGGCTAAATTGAATCTTGTGTAGGTTAGTAAGAATAAAATAAACTTCATGGAGCCTTGTCCAACCTAAAACTTTTAAGTGACTTTTATAGGGAATGAATGTTTACAACACATAATCTTTTAAGCCCACCCTTAAGCTAGGTACACTGGGTACAGAGAGAATGGGGAGGAAAACCCTGCAGAGTTCCTGCAATTTTTTGCAAACAGCTGTTAGGCTTCTTGCACAAAGTAGGGCTCATTTTATTTTCATTAAGATCATTAGTTTTAAAAAACCTTGATGATACAACCAGTTTCTCCTGTAATTTGTTTCTGATCTGCTTTTTAACATCAGATGATCTTTTTTGGTGGGCTGCCCACAGTTTCATTGGTAGAGATAAATACAGTTTATAGGACCAGAGATGACTTTTAAAGCCTAGAAGAAAGTTTCATTCAGTTTCCAAGTTGGTTTCTTTTAGGAATCAGAGGCACTTACTCACTATGAAAAGAACCTGACTTCTTTCATCCACTGTGGCCCAGTTCTATTTAAATTTAGAAGAGAAAATTCTGCTGCTTCTGCCTTTAGAATAATTACTGACAATTCATACTTTCTGAGAACTTGCTATAACTTTTAGGGGAGGCAGTGCAAAGGATTGGTGTCAGGGAGGTCCATGTTTCTCCACTGAACAGTTCTGAGACTGAGCACAGGTGACGTTCCAACCCTATAAAGAGGGACCAGTGATACCTCCTATCTCATGGGCTGCTATGAGAATTACATGAGATAATGCCTAGAAAACGCCTTTCCTGAAGCCCAACATATAGTACAAAATCAATTAATTCAAAATTTAATCTTTTTATAGTGTAACTACTATTCTCCTACTAACTGACTGTCCAATGTCTCATAAATTATAAAAATGGTATAACCATGTATGTCAAAAAAAAAATCCAGCATCTTGACTGTTAATTATCTGAGGTAAACCATGGAACAGCACCGTTCAATAGAAGTTTCCATAATGATGAAAATATTATATATCTATTCCAAAATGGTTGTCCCAAGCTAAATGTAACTACTGAACACTTGAATTGTGACTAGTATGATCGAGAAACAGTATTTTGAATTTTATTTAATTTTCGTTAACTTAAATGTGAATTTAAGTAGTCATATGTGGCTAACGGCTAACATATCAGACATTCCTGGAGTGAGAGAAAATAGGCTGACATCCTGCAAACCTGAAGGGATCACATGGCTTTGGGAAGGGAGGGTGAGCTGGGAGTTCAAATTCTGGATCCAGCACTTACAAGTTGTGTGAGCCTATTCAGATCTGTCAGCTTCTCTGAGCCGTGGTTGCCCTTGGCTGTGATTAGGTGTTTCGGTGTTTTGGGTAGAAAATAAAGGTTAGAAATTAGTTCTGCTACATCGGAAAACCCATCAGTGAAATCTTGTGTGTGCCTGTGTCACACACAGTTACAAACACACAAGCACCTATGAGAACACACAATTTAACATCATGGTTTGCATATTTTTGATCACTCATTTACTGGGGGTCTAAACTGTCTAATAAGCACCCTTTCTGGGCGGTGGGACCTACAGGGATAAATGAAAAGCTCAACTAACATTACTCAACACATGTTAAGTACGGCAGCCCAGGATGAAACCAATGTTGTAACCTTCATTTTATGTAGACAATAAACAAAGGCATGGAGTAGTTAAATAGCTTTCCCAAAGGCACACAGCAGAGCAGAAACTCAAATCCAGTTCGATAAAGTCTCAGTCCAAATGAACCACTGCTGAGATCTACAATAATAAATGGAGTATGCCCATATAATAAAATGCTGTTAGGCTAATAAAGGTAAGACAAACACAAGACAAGGTAAAAAGTGATGTATATTTGTCACAGGGGTGTGGACAAGAGGCCACAAGGAAATGCTGGATGTAGAACAAGTGGACAAGTGAGCAAGCAGGTTGTTTTCTAAAGGAAGGAACGACTGCGGTTCATAATGACAAGGGTGGGACACTGTCTTGTTAAACCCACATCAGGCCCCTTTTCCCTCGCTCCTCCAGCATCCTGCCCTGTTGTCCCCCTCTTTCTGGTCCTCTCCTGCCTGCTGCTTCTCCCAAGCATCCTATCACTGTCTGGCTTTACTGAGACTAGCTGTTGTGGGGTCAAAAGTAAAAAACAAAATTGTAAAACTAGAAACTAGATACCCCCAGCTACCTGTGACTTGAGTTACATTTTTACACTCTTCAATTTTGTCACTTCTTGATGCCTCTGTCTTATTTTCATCTTAAGTCTTTTGGGCAAGTTCAGCATCTTTTATGTTTCTAATGAAACATGCTGTTAGCATTCAGTAATGATAACAGTAATTATATCCTTCTTACCTAAATACCTTCCTATGGTTTCAATAATCTTCAATTTCAGTCTTGCTGAACTGCCTGCATTTACGTGGTTGTTAGTGATTTGTATAAGCTTTCATTCTCTCTCCCATAGGTCCTTGTACTTGTATAAACACTTATATTTGGGGGAAAACACACAGGGTGTGAGAAGAACAGATGCAGGCCATTGCCCATGTATCAATTTATAAGATGCATCATAAAAGATGAAAAGTGTTAGGCAAGTGTATTTATTATTTCTATGCTGTTAACATTTTCCCCAGTCACATCACATCTCCTTCCCCAAATGTTCTAATCATGTTTTATTCTAACTGTAAGAATTCTGCTTACTTGAACATTTTCATCTCTTCAAAGATGATGGCAAGCAGGAGGCAGAGGTTCTGTTTTAATCTTTTGCTTGCCCTCCCGAATGCCAAGTATTTGTGTTCAGCATTTTAAAAATCAATAGGGACCAAAAACATATCAAAATGAATATCAGATAGCTCAGAGCAGAATATTAAACATGTCTTATGTTTTTCTAAGACAACTTTTAAAAACAGGACCAGCAACAAAGCAAGTTGAAAGTTTATGAAAACGGACAACTCTCACTGTATTCTATTTCCCTTTGTCTGGAAGCCAGTTCTTTTGAAAAAGTTCAAGGGAAAACAGAACTGTGACTCATCTTCTAAACAAACACCACCATCCCAGTATGTCAGTAAGTTAACCTTCCCCCCAGCTCCTGATGTCCAAACTTATCCCCCCAATTTGCTGTTCACATTCCTGAGACTGCTCCTTGGTTACAAATCTCCTATTGTTGCTATTTAATTCCATATCCACAGGGCAGTTTCCTGGGAAGCACCATGAGTAATCAGTTGTCGCTATGATCTGACAATAGCTTGAAAATATTGTTATTTGGATTGTTTGTAGTTGATTGTTTTAAATGAAGGTAAGGAGAGAGCAGCAACCATGACAGCAGAGGGTCAAAAGGGGCAAACAACATGATTTTGTTTGTAGAAAGTGTTACTAAGATAACATATTGATTGTGCATAATTTAAAAAGTAAGAATGAATGACAGGCCACAAAGCAGAGCACCATGCCCACTGGTGAAATGAGATTCTAGAAGAAAAAAATAAGTCTGGCTAAGGGAAAAATGAATTATTCCATTACTGCTCCAGCTTAAAGATATTTAGAAAATATCCTTCTTTCTTTCCTCCCGTACGTCCTTCTCAGCCGTGGCTTTGGCATCCATTAAAATGAGTGATTTGAATTTATAGAAGGTAGTTAGCAAAGGACTAGAAGTACCTTGCCTACAGCACTCTTGCTGCAACTCCCTCTCTGGAATGCATGAAAAATAAGTTAAGTATGCGCAGTGCTCCACTCCCTTCCAGGACACGGAGAGTGGGGCACCTTGCAGTCAGGGGGAGGGAAGGAACAGGAAAGAGAAGAGACCAAGAAATGGTAACAAACATGTATAACTGGGAGCAAGGTCTCCATAAAATGGTCGGAGGGACTTCTCCCCATAAACTCGGAATCTTTACTTGTCCCTTGAAATTGGTCATATGAGGAAGAGCTGATGCCAGTGCTACCAAGAGTCCACCTTGGAAGAGAAGGCTGTTCTTCCCCATGCTGCTTGGAGGGAATTCAGCTGAGGCTGTTATGGGCTCCCTGGAAGCATGAAGACTCTCTGAGTCATGGGGGGATTCATGGCAGATGCCAGGGATCAGGCTCCTACAAGTGGTGCCTCCATCACTTGTTAAAATTAGAGCTTCTCTCTCCTGTGAGGCCCCCACGTCCAATGGCCTAAGCCCAGTGCAGGTGGAATATGTGAGAAAGAAACTGCACTGGCCAAGAAAGCTTACCCACTCAGTGGCCATGCCAAAGAATTGGTCCTCTGACTTTTTTATGGCTCCACATACCTATAAATGCTGAAAGGAGGCATGAGAAGAAGAGGGAGGGTTTGGGGTGCTTATGAGGTCACAGGTATCCACTCTTTAAAATGCTCTTAACTTTGGATCTACTCATTGCCTTTCTATATACCCTAAAAACAACTTGTGAGATGCATAAGGATTATACTTAAAAAGTAGTGAGAGAAAGGAAAAATCTAAAGTTGTATACTATTCCATTATTGAAGTTATGTTGTTATAAATTATTTCATGACATGACAAAGTGGTAATGATGCATTAGAAAGGAAAGAGTGATCAAAATAACAATATAGTATGATCCTCATTTTGTAAAAAATGCGCATAGAAAAAAAGTTGGGAAAATTATATGATAGAGACCTCCACTGAATTCTCACCCAAGAATCAGCTCTTGAGGCTATTAAAAACAAAACAAAACAAAACAACAAAACAAAAAACAAAAAACAAAAAACCCTGCTCATGTTAACATCTTACTAAGCATGCAGTAAATAAATTTAAAACTATGTCCTACACACAAAGACAGAAAAAACCCCCCATTCACACACACCCTAGAGCTGCCCCTGTCCAAGTCACCAGGTCTGTAGGAAGTCAGCATTCACTCATTTTCATGTTAATAAACTAAGGATTTGAGCTAGAGATTAGTCTAATTACTTTTCTTTCTAAGCTGTCTGCTGGGAATATACTTCAGGAACCATCCTTTGGCGTTCTGATAACCTCTGCCTGGCCAGGCAGGCTAAATGCTGCCAGGCCTCCATCACATGCCCCCCCCCTTCCCTTCTCTCCAAACTGGACACTGTCACCATGCGTGAGTGGCAGCTAATCAGCCAAACCCCAAAATATGCTCCTTTGCTGATTATACACGTCACACTATTTGTGTGGCGTCTCAGGGCCATTGCGAAGTCACCCGGCAGCACAGTGCCCAGCTACTGTGGAAATCTGGACAGGATACCTGGGAGAAGAGGGCAAAAGAGTCAGCTCAGAGTGGGACCATACTTATAGCTGAGAGGGAGGCTATTTCTGTGGCCCAACATTTATTCATGAGTATTTCAAAGCCTTGTAACGCCCTGTCATGCGGCTTCATTTTCTTTTCTTCAGGGGTAAGCCATCACAGGGCTGCAGAGGGCTTTAGATGGTTGGCACCCAGTCTCTCTTCCTAAGAACCGGCAGAGTCCAACCCATAATGGAAGAGGGCTACAATATTTGTAAAGTCATCTCTAAACACATCTAAAAAAATAGAGAAAAGCTCAGTTGACAAAATTTATACTTTCTTGCCATTTGTGGGCCACACAATACCATGAAATAAAATCAATCACAGGATGAGAAGGAAGGACAGCTCCTCAACTGAGTGGCGCTTTCCTGCATTACCCCTAAAAGGTAGCTTTCTCCAGAAGACTAGCCACAATCCTCCTGGGGATTCTATTCTCGACACAGTGGAAATGAAAAAGCAAAACAAAAGAGTCAAACAAACATAAAATCATTTCATCATGCCCTGAAAAATAAATATTTTCTATGAAGTCACATTTTTTTACTTTTCCATACGATTTCCAATGATTCACATTTGTTCCTGAATTAGATGTAATTCTTCTATCAGATTGCAGGATGCCTAAAGGAAAAGATACTTGGTCTCCTTAACTGTCCATAGAACAATGACCATCCGATATTCATACAATTACTAGCCAGAAACACACTTCATGCGATATGTGGCCAAAATGAGCTGCTGACACTGATGACAAAACTGAAAATGATGATGATGATGATGATGATGATTTATTCGACAAATATATATTGAACATTTGCTATGTGTTTGGCCCTGTTCTGAGCACTTGGGGTTCATTAGTGAATAAGCTACAAAAACCCATATGTGTGGTGTTAACATTCTATTGGAGAAGAATAAACAACAAACCTTATAAATAAGTAAATAAGTTGCATAGCACATGAGAAGGTGATAAAAGTTAAAATATTATGGGGGAAAATTAAGACGCGTTATGAATTATCCAACCAGATTCAGTGGGGAGATGTGATTTTAAATAGCATGGTCATAGCAAGTCTTATGGAAACAAGGTCATCTGGGCAAAGGGATGGAGGTGAGGAAATTAGCTGCATAGACATCTGGAGGACAAGAATCAGAGGCAGACAAAAAAGCCAGTGCAAAAGTCCTGAGGCAGGAAAGAGTATCTAGCTTATCTCAGAATAGTAAGGAGCCCAGCAGGGCTAGAGGCACAGGAATGAAGAGGAGATTGAGAAGAGAAGTCAGAGAAATACCAGGTAGGCAGGAAGAGCAATGGGTAGAGGTGGGGGTTCTTTTAAGGAACTGGCTTCTCCTTTAAGAAAATGGTAACCACCAGAGTACTGCGAGCAGAGGAGAAACATGAACATACATTTTCAAAGAATCATTCTGGCTGCTGTGCTGAGAACAGATTACAGGGTAAGGAGTGTCAAGAATGTGGGGAGATCAGTTAGGTGATAACTGTAGTAATCCAGGTGACTGGACTAAGGTGGCAGCAGTGGGGGCACGATGTGTGGGTCAGAGTCTGGGTATATCTGAAATAGAGCCAACAGGATTTACTGACTGACTAGATGAGGGGTGGGAGAGAAAGAAAGGCATCAAGAGTGATGCCAAACTGTTGGCCTATGCAACTAGAAGGACAGTGTTACCATCAAACACAAGAGAGGTGGCTGAGAAAAGAGCCAGTTGGGAGGCAGATGAGGGGCTGAGCTTTGGACAGAAGAAATAGGAGATTCCCATTAGAATCCAGGTGGAGGTGTGAGACAGGTCTGAGCCTCAGAAGAGATGCATACCCTGGAGATAAGCATTTGGGAGTTGTCCGTATGTGGGTGGAATTGAAAGAAATGAGTCTGGATGAGATAACCGTCCAAGGGAATGACTGTAGGCAGAGGAGAGAGTGGTACCAGGCACCACACCTGGAACATTCACAGTCAAAGAAATGAGAGGGAACCAGAAAATGAAACTGAGAAGGAGAAGCTGGAAAACCAAGAGACCTGAGTATCCTGGCAGCCAAGTAAAGAAAATACCTTAAGGGGGGGAGAGAGCCATTTTGTCAAATGCTGCTGCTAAGAGAAGCAAGAGAGACAGCAAATTGACTGTACGGCATTGAAACAATCACTACAGTTATTAGCGTTAGTAACAGCAGCTATGACTTCTGAGTGCCTTCTCTGTGTCAGGAGCGATGTCACATGCTTTATGTATATTACTTCATCCAGTCTTTACAACTATCCTTAGAGTCCATTTTACTATCACCATAATGCAGGCTGAAAATTGAAGTCTGGAGAGATAAAGTGTATGCAGCCAAGTGGAAGAAAAGAGATAAAAATATAAATCTTGCTGAATCCAACCTTGGTGCTCTTAACAGCTCTGCAAACTGCCTACTTCTTTCCTTCTTCCCATTCCTCCTCCCTCCCTCCTTCTTGACCTTCCTTGACGTCCATAGGAAAGAAGACAGAAGGCAAGAAGGAAAGGAAAAAGATAAATAAAAAATGAGTATCGAAAATGGAGAAGAAAGAAGGAAATAAATTAAAGGCTCTTTATGGATACAAATGACTTCTATTTGGACTAACTTCAGCAGGTAATTTTGGAAGATGTAGGATATTTATATTGAATATCTGACCAATTAATAGAAAGCAAGGAATCTTGGGGAAAAGAGCCACATTTACCATTAATTAAGGATTTATTCCTGAGCCCTTGTCTTCTGTTTTTAAAGGCCAGGGTGATTTTTATAAACAAGAAAACATGAAACATAAGAAGTTGCTTATACAAAATGGAAGATAATAAAACTGAGAGGGAGATCAATGCATGTCATAGTGGGAACATTCTGGATAATGGCTATGCAAAGACAACAAATTCATGTTTTTTTTCCATGGGTTAAAAAAAAATCTGTTGGGCAAGGTGTCAAGACAAAGGGTGCCTGTATACATAAGATCATTCTCAGTAATGAAGTTTTTCTAGTGATTGTGTGTCTCTAGCAAGAGTATGATTTCTGAGAAGAGCAGCTTGCAAAGCACTGCACTAAATACCCCTTTGAAAAGCAAGTTCAGCCTGGTATAGGAGAGACTCACATCATTTAGAAAGCCAAATTGCTTTGTCAAAATGATTCCTACAATGACTCCTATAAGCACACGCCTTTCTGTTCAGTGTCATGTCTCCAATATATAATAAGCATTAAATTATTATTTGTTGAAGAAGCTGAATCCAAGTGATTCCTTTTGGTTTAGATACTTCCTTCCAAAACTTTTGGATATATTGACCAGCTAGTTTTAAGCTGATCAATTTCCTGTTTTCCCTCCTATCCACTAGAGTTTTTATTTCCTTAAAAGAAAAATCTTGGAAGTTGTTTTCCCAAGAAAAAGAAGAGTCCCACTTGAATATCAGAATACATTCAGTGTTTCTTCCTGGCATTTATAAAGGACCATAGATCAGATGTGCCAAAACTTTCTCAATTCACAGTAAGCCTAGGCCAAAAATTTTTTTCTAATATTTTCATTTATTATGTAGCTATGTCCTAATAACTTAAGTCATTAAAAAAATAATATTTTATATTATCCTTAAACAACTATATATTTACCACTAATGAACCAGGCAGAAGTTTGCAAGTCTTGAAATCAGACTGGGTATTAAGAACCTAATTTCCTGTTCCACATTGATTTTCATATGGCTTTTGCTTTTTAAATCACAACAACTACTAAAAACCCAACCTCATAAAGATGTGACAAATCACTGAAAGGAAAGTAGCATGATGCACTGAAGCTCGAAGTTCATGCAGTGTCAGTGGTGAGTGTTACTGTCCTTCCCTTGGAAATTTAAAATATCTTGCACAGCTCCTGGGATTTTGCTGCCACACTTCAGGGTGCCCTGGTGCACAATTTGGGGATTGCAGCTAAGTACTAAGCTTAAATTTTAGCATGTCTGAAACCCAGATCATTGTAAATTGGGAAGACATTTAAACCTAAACCCAGTAATTGAAACTTTCTTCTATCTCCTGTTAGTCTGTAGATTCAATCTGAGCATCACTTTTAACACTTAACCATGAATCTTGTGGCAGGTAGATAATTTTCTATCTCTGTGCATAGAGCCTGAAGTACTAAATCTGCAGTTTAATGGCAAGTGTTAGGCTACTAAGGAGGAGTTAGCACCGGGACAACAAACTTTATCTGTAAATATTTTAGGCCTAGTGGGCCATATGGTCTCTGTCCCAACTACTTAACTCAGCTACTTTGTGAAAAAGCAACCATAGACTTTGTAAATGAACAAACATGGCTGTGTTCCAATAAAACTTTATTTAAAAGAACAGGCAGCAGACCAGATTTGGCCCATAGGTTGTATTTTGGCAAACTTCAGTCTAGCTAGATAGCAAATTTGCTTTATTTCCTGAGTTGAATTAATACAATCCTGCTATGAGAAAAAGGACAATTCACAAATGCCTCAGTGAAAAGTATTTCTGTAATAGCCAGGTAACTCAGCAAGCACCTGCTGATCACTACTTGGGGCAGGTGCTGGAGTGGGACACGGTCCCCTTGCCCTCTTGCATCCCACAGACTACAAGGATGCCCAGGTGTAGGTTAATAATTAGAGCATGAAAGCACAAAAGAGAGTGTGGTGATTTTCACCTGAGGAGGTAAAGGAAAAAAAATCAGGTGACAGCAACTGAAACAACCGTACAAAACACAAAATGATCCATCCAGGGATGGCCTTTACAAACAAGAAGTCGTTCTGCAATTGTTTTTAGCAATAGCTAACTAGCAACATTTATTATGTAGTTATTACGAATCAGCCACCATGTTAAGCATCTATGTATTATATTATTTTCCCAGAGGAGAAAACAGAGCTTAAGATTACTCTGCTAGTCAGTAGCAACAGTGGGATCTAAACCCTGGTGTTCTCGCTCTAGAACTTGGTTCTTAATTACTGCACTGTATAGCTTCTAAGAAAAGGAAAGAAATCAGCTTCCAGAAGACAGAAGAAAATATAGGAAATAGCTTCTAGAAATCAGAAGGGAAATAATCAGATTGACTGATTCATTCCAGGGGTTGGCAAACTGTGGCCCACGAGCCAAATCTGGCCCATGGCCTGTTTTTGCAAATAAAGTTTCATAGGAACACTGCGAAGACCATTTCTTTACATGCTACCTCTGGCTGCTTGCACGCTCCAACAGCAGTTGAGTAGCTGCAGCAGAGACTGTAACTAAAGGCCAGGAAAGCCTAAAACACTTACTATCTGGCATTTTGCAGAAAAACTTTGAAGACCTGTGATTCACTCATGTTTGTTTGCTTGCTTGCTTTCTTGTTTACTTTAGTTGTTTCGTTCTTTCTCATTTTTTGGAGTCTGTTCATAACCTCTCAGCCTCTCAGAGGCCATCCCTCTGCACTTCCAGCTGCTGAGAGGTCCTCTGAGATGTGTTCCACAGGCCTCTGTGCTCTGGAACATTGTAATTTTCCACATTTTCCCCAGCTGCCAAGACGCACACACAGGAGTTGATAAATTGTAAGGTGACGTTTAATCAGAAGTCTGGGCTTTCCCATCTTGATGAATTTGAAGGTGAATAGATATCTCTGCAGATTCCTGTACTCCAAGCAGGTAGGGCATGTGCATCACATCCAACAAACAGAAAGGGCTGAAGGATGAGGCGACTTTGCAGTCCCTCCTCTTATCTGGCTGAGATTCACACCATCCAGCCAATGCTCATCCTTATCAGACTGGACCCACTGTGTTGCTCTTGCTGTTTCTGTAATCAGCTGAGAGCTTCTCAACACAGAGGAGATTTTTTTGAACAGGACAAACATTTAATAATGGTTTTCCATTTTGTGTGGTGTCTGCTGGGCCTCACAGGAAAGGAGGAAGGTAAGACTGCTGTTTTATCAGATATCTACAGTATCTACTCAAACCACAAAATGCATAAAGGGAAAGCAAGACAGAACTAGTCTCATGAAGCAATTGCTAAGCAAATGTTAACACCGTCAGCAAGGTCCACTCGTAGGCAAAGAGATGAAGGTACAGCAGACGGCAAAGCAAGTGACTTATGAGGATGTGCCAGATCCAGGATGAAGTCAAGGCTCCCTGGGACCTAAAATAATGATGATGTTTGTTGTGGGTTGAATTATGTATCCCAAAAAGGTATGTTAAAGTCCTAAACCCTAGTATCGGTGGTCATGGTCTTTGTTGGAAACAAAGTCTTTGCAGATAACCAAGTTGAATTCACAGTGGATTAAGATGCTCCCTAATCCAATGGCTGGTAGAAGAAGAGGGAAATTTGGGTATAGACACACAGAAGAAAGATAACCATGTAAAGACAGAGGTGGAGATTAGAGTTAATGCTGTCACAAGCGAAAGAAAACCAAGCATTGCTGACAACTTCTAGAAACTAGGAGGAAGGCATGGAACGGATTCTTCTCTCCAGCCTGCAGAGAGAACACGGTCTTTCCTGCACTTTGATCTGGGACTTCTAGCCTCCAGAACTGAGAGAATAAATTTCTGTTGTCTAAGGCCACCTGGTTTGTGGTACTTTGTTACAGCGGCCTAGGAAACTAAAAAATATTGATGGCCATGGTCCTAAAATTAGGAAAAGAGGGAAAATGTCAGCAAACGAGGGAAAGCTTTCCACATCCCAAGCACCATGCTAGGTGCATTGTGTACATTATTTTAATCCTCACCACTTTTGAGACTTGTTATTTCCACATTACAGTTGAAAAAATTCCCCCCAAAGAGCTTGTCCATGGTCTCAGGGCTAGTGAGTAGCAATGCCTGTATTTGAATGCTGGTCGCTGGTCTCTGAATCCATGTTCGGAACTCATACATCACACTTTGTCCACATGTACATGGAAGGTTTTGATCTGTGTGTCTGTTTCCATGTTTTTTATTTGGTCAACACAGAGAAGTTGTTTCTAAGAGCCCTTACCCAGGGGAACAGATGGCTCAGAACTCTTCCTTGTGGGGGGCCCCATTTCCTACAAGTTATCGTCCAGTAACTTTAGGCAGGAGAAGGTGGGTGGCATCTAGGATAATCATGGAGAAATCTGATCTGAGTATTCCATTTCAGAAGTGAACTGCCAGTTCTCTCTTTTTCCTTCTTATTCCTGTCAGAGAGAAACTTTCTAAAGGGAGATTATAAGAACATTTATCTAGTTGCCTTTGCAAGATAATTCTTGCTTTTCATAGTCACACTGCACTGTTTTATCATATAATTTATTCGACTTGGAAGATAAAATTAATGGCCCAGCTTCAAAGATGTCATCAAGGCTGACCCAGCTGTGCAGAAGGCAGTGGGTCTTGGGGTGGTAAGAATACACTTAGTCTCACCTTGGTCTCCCCAAGCAGCGTACAACCCAGCGGTTACCTCTGGTTCCTCCCTAATCCTGCTGCTTTGAAATTGCTAGTGATGACCTTGCAAGAAGACAACAAATCTACATTTTCAGGTTTCCAGATGTGTTTAGGAAAGGGGGTATATCTAAAGACCATTTGGAGCATATTAAACATTTGCTTTTTGAACTTACAGTTCTTTAATTCTATTCCTATTGATTTCATGCTCAATGTTCTAACAATATAAAACATAGAACTTTTGGTCTACACTCATAATTATTCTTCTCTATTTTCTTCTTAGCTTATATTTAAATACTTTTCTTTGTCATTATTACATTATTAAGGTTTTGGGGGGGTGTGTGTGTGTGCTGTTTTTATTTTGTTTTGTATAAATAAGACACAAAAAGAAGGCAGCACAACACAGTAGAAATATAACACTTTGCAATCATGCCAATGTGGATTCAAGTTCCGAGTTCCCATATATTAGTTCCGTAACTTTGGGCAAGTCACTTACTTTCTACAACCCTAAGTTGTTCATAAATTAAAAGCTTGGAGTATATAAACATTTAAATGTTAATTCACTTTCTCTTGCTCATTCAACCTTCCACCGTCTTCTGTTTGTCATCATGTTTGCCTCTGTTTAATACTTTAATCCTTTCTATCTGTAGTATATATGACATGGTGTCACAGACTTAAGAAACGTGATTAGGAGAAGTCAGGACTTTCATCTGTTGTATCCTTCTCACCCCGAGATAGTCTTAAAAACTAGAATGCATATGGTAAATTTCACAAATAAGAACTTCATGTACCCATAAGGTTTGGTGATATAATCAAACAAGCAAACAAAAAAGATATGCTCTCTCTCGACAGCAGAACTCTCCTGCTTATAACACCAAGGCACCTATCCCTCCCCTGGGCTGTTGCCCTATGCCCCTCATGGCCAGCACAGCTCTTGATGCACAGTGAGTGCTCACTACACATTTGGGGAGTAACTGACCCAGAGGAAGGGCTCTCTAATCTCTACTTACTGTTGATTGCAATCCCATTTTTAAGATTTAACAAAATGGCTCTACTTCTCTAAAAGGTCCTGACAGCAATCTGGAAGTAAATGTTCTTCTCTGCAGAAGATGGCATAATGAGATGCACATTGAAGACCACTTCTCCAAAAGGAAAACCATCAAGAGTGAATCCAGCATCTCATGGTCCTGCTATTAAATTCACAAATGCCATTTTTCCCTTTTCAAATATTTTAATTATAGTAGCACATGGAGGCACAGATCAAGGAAACACTAAGAATACTAAGACAGTAGAATAAGTTTCCTCAAATAAGACCCAGACTGGGGGTAGGAGGCAAGCTGAAGAAGCTTCAGCACACTTTTACTATCTGAAAGCTACATATAAATTCAATAAAAACTCCATTCATCAGCTCAGAAACTTGCAAACATATAAACACACATGAAAAATTAAAAACATCTGTGCAGCCAAGAGAACAAAACCTTAAAATAAAAAGGAAACATTGTTGAGCTGGGCAAGATTATCAGCTCCTCTTTTTCCACAATTATGCAAAGGCATATCTTTGGAAGTATCTACACATTTGATCCAGGGATATAGTTGGTGA